CCCCCCCCCCCCCCCCCGCCTACCACCATTTCTCGTCCTTTCGCCTTTTTTATTTTTCGTCTGGGGTAAGAACTTGAGTATCTATTTCACTGGCTCCAACAAGATTTAATGCAGATGCTATTTTGAATAAATAAATCAAATGGATAGGGGGGACAGTCACCCCCCCCCCCCCCGTATCCGCCCCTGGGTGGTTTGAGAAAGCTAAGGAATTTATTGCATGTCACGCGGAAAATAGTTATTTATACTGGATCCCCTGCAAAGAAAAAAAAGGTCCATTAGAGAAATTTGGGGAAATTTTGGTATCGTACGAGGTTGATTCTAAAGGAAGTACACCTGATGCATATGCAAGGCCTTGCAACCTTGTCAAGGCTAACTAGTGAAACGCCGATTAATATATTATAATAAAATCATGTATAATGATATATTTATATGTAATATATAGGCCTACATTCTGCCAATTCGATTAGATTAATCGACCGATTGATCGATCGACGTCTAACGAAAAATCAATTTAAAAAAAATGAATAGACTTTTAATCGACCCCCAAATTTCTTCCTGAAGGCCTGTTTCATCTCTTTAAATTTTACTGCGAGGTAAATTCTTGCAAATCGACCGAAACGAATGCATTGTCAAGGAGACGAAATTATGGCTTTTAGAGTCTAGACCAGCGAATTTTTTTTTCCCCCCTGTCAAATGACATCCAAAGCAGAGCGCACGTGCGTTCAAGGATTCCGTTACCCACTGCAGGAGAAACGGAAGCAAGAAATAAAACGTAAAAGCTATATCTCCGCCACAGCTGAAAATATTCCCTCACTCGCTTCGTCAGGGAATCGCTGCTCTCTGAGCAAGCGGCTTGCTTGGTACATTGTTCAACAAAAAAAAAGATAGAAATTACAAATCAGTTATTTCATATCATTAGCATCTTCTATTTTAGTACATGGTTTATTAAGCCAGGCTTAGGATTATTTTGGTACTCAGCAGACATAAAGCCTGTAATTCAGTATTTTAAAATATCCATGCGGCCCGCCGGGAACTTAAAAGGTTCACTTGCGGCCCGCAGTCGAGAAAGGTTGCTCACCGCTGGTCTACGGTAGACTCAGGCGCAAGGGTGCCCAAAGTTTTGGGTCATAGGGGCCGCAGAGCCTGGAGGGTGTGGACTCGCGGGCCGCAAAATTCAGAACTTGCTTTTCTGCATGGTAAATATGCCAAAAAAAAAATCGTATTCCTTGTTTGGACCTAATTCAGTATGATGTTTAGCCGAAGTGACAAGTTCGCCTGGACTGCCAGGACTGTCGAACTATCAGAGATCAGCTCAATCCTCTTGAATGGTTCAATTGAGACGAATTCCGAAGGTTTCCTCTTTACGAGTACACCGACTTGGTGGGAGCCAATGGAGCCGGCACACTAATCATTGTTTTCTTTGCACGGGCTTCCATACTGCCTTTGAACGGATTTAAGTCGTGGATAAACGTGTTCATCCCGTCTTTAAACCAATCCGGCCGGGAATGGACCGTGCTCACTCCGCGAGTGAATTCAAACCTAGTCAAACCTATGCTTCGTTCATTCCGCAGCACATAAAATCATTAATTAATTTACGTCATCGTGAACATTTAATTTCTTTTTTTCCAAGACTCCTCGCGGGCCGCATTTTTGGCACCCCCCCCCCCCCCCCCGGTCTAGAGGGTAAACTCACACTTAAGCAAAAGAAAAAAGGGGACACAAAAACCAAAAGTCATCGTTTCCAGAATGATCCATCGAGAAAAGGAAGAGAAAGTTGGAATGAAGGATGTTATATGAGAACGCGCATATGGGCAAGGCGTGCAGATCGCATGTGGCAGGAGCAGCGAAGCGAACGCGGTTCGCAAGGCAAGCAGGCGCGTGGATGAAGGAACGCGATGGAAGGAAGCAGTGGGGGGGGGGGAGGAGACGTGTGATTCCTTCAACGCTTGGTGAATGGGTGGCGCCGTGTGCCTCCGGGTTGCGTCGCCGTTGTTTCTCTGGCCCGATCGTGATCGTTCGTCCTCCGAGTGGACGGTGCCGCGTGAACGTTGAGTTGGCGTGCTTGGGTGGGCAATCACAGTTTGGGTGACGGATGCATTTCCTTGCAACTCTCGCCGTTTCTCTCTGAGCGTCTCTGAAAAAGTGGGATCGAGCTCGGCGATTCCGATTTTCATGTCCATGAAGTGACTACCTATAGGCGACTTTTTTTATTATAGACCCTGAAGTAGCCATTTTTTGTAACTTTTGTAGACTGACAACGTACCGACCTCGGAATAGTGTCAGATATTTTCTTTGGCTCGGCCGAGAATAAATTTCCCACATCTGATGTTTCTTGTTTTTTTTTCCCATTTGAATGGAGAAGAAATTCAGACAACGATTCGAAGCAAATTTTGCCGTTCGACCCTATTCCAAAAACTTCTTGCAGTTATCTCGGTATTGATTGAATATTAGAGCGTTCTGGGAATTCAAAATCATAGAAATATCTGGGAATCAGCGGTCGACACATTGAGCCAATTTGTGGAGTAAATTCTTAATTTCCGAGTCCTGGCAATTGCATTGTCGGCAACATCCACGAGAATTCCGTCACTTTTCTGGCACATGGCACGAGAGATATTCTCTTTCAAGCTCTTCAGATCTGTAGGCTAGTCCTTGTAAACAATGCCTTTTAAGAAGTCCCAGAGAAGAAAAAAATCACAAGTGGTCAAAATCCGGAGATCGTGGAGGCCATTTGCCCCGGCTGACCATTCGGATTGCTATCCTCCATATGTCTGAACTTGTAATTAAAGCAAGGGTTTGGTAAATTAATTTTCAGTGATAATAGAGTGTAAAAACAAACGATGTGATACCATTCCGAAGTCTAATGATAGCCTACAAAAATTTAAATTTTGGTTCCCCCAGATTCAGCATGAAAAAAGTTGCCATAAGCCGTCACTTTATGGACACCCTGTACTTTGGCGCATAATCTCTTGTGGAGAGATAAGATTATCTCGATTCGCTGGCCCAAGGTCTCATTCGACGAAAAATAGGGGATCGATTAAATTTCGAATAATCGACCGATCATTCGCTTAAATGGCCCGCGGTTAATCGATTGAAAAATTATTCGGCTTGCAGTCCTAATTATGAATGTAGGAAGTTGCGCAAGTCTGTTTTGACAAGGAAATATAAATGTTTAATGAAAGGGTCGATTTGTGACAAAGGCCGAAAAGGAATCGAGGTCGGCACAGAGACTCGTAGCGGAGTGCGGCGACGTCGAAGGCGGTTTCGCCACCTTCATCCGCAATTCACGGCGCCCCAAGTCCCAAAGGCCATGGCGGTCTCTGCCGAGTGTCAGCCCCGATGGCTTAGCATATCAGCACGGGTACCTTCCTCCCCCCTCCCCCCTCCCCTTCCCTCCCCCCTCCTCCCCTGCAAACAAGCTTATTTGGGATTTTTCCTCGTTGGATGTCGATTGGAGAACGAGAGTGGCAGCAACTTGAAGGAAAGACGGCCGGGTCAAAATGGATTCCCCGTTATTTCCCTTTACTCCCCGTAAAGGGGAATAATGGGGAGTAATAGAATAATGGGGGATAAAATGGAGCATTCGCCTGCCTGAGACAGGGTGGTCGCAAATCGAGCAAAAAAAAATGTTAGGAAGTTCCTTGAATTAAGAGTAGTGAATTTTAAAATTTTCAGAATCATAATTTGTATTATTTCTTCACAGGAACTGTGAATCGAGGAAGTGGCTAATCCAATCTAATCTAATACAAGTCTTGACATAAGCGTTCGCTTCCGTACTGAATCGTGATGCCTTCCAACGACGTTCGATCTTATCTTTGACCATCCCGTAGAAACAATATCGGGTATTGGGCCTCAGACGATCAAGTCGCTCGACGCCAGAATTTCTGTTCAAGGTAAGCGACTCCTCATGCCATTACGTAATGCCATCCGACGCATCACGCCATCCGCGCTTTCGATGCGGAGGGAATCCACGCGGAAGCGACTCGCGTTCAGTCGCATATCCCTCGTTCCCCCTGCTTTTCGAATGCGCCATCCAGCGTGTCTCGCTCTTCGAAGATTTTTCAGATTGAAAGTTGAAGCGGTTTTCACGTACGCCGCACGCTCATCACTCGGGAGGTCGGGTCAAAATTTCGCGTGTGAAGGGTTAAGAATTCTCGTCTCTTTCCGTCAGCCGGGATGCCGCTCAACATTCCCGTGTTGGTGGTGAACTACCTACTCTCGGTGATGTCGGACGCCTCCTGGCAGAAGTTGGTGGACTCGTACATGAAGGTGGAGATCGCCTCGGTGGATGACGTCCTGGATCCGGACGCGCTCCCATCCGGTGCCAGCAGCGTCGGCAGGTCGCTGCGGAAGAACTTCGTTCATGATTTCTCCAATTTTCATCTCTCGCGTGAGAAACCTCAGGAAATTCGGATCCTAATCCTAATTTTTTTAAAATTATTTTTGTGAATTTTATGGCAATTTTAAGAGGGATAAACTTATTGGTACAGTTGCCAATTTCCAATTGCCAATTGGTACTATTGGTTGAATGTTGGATGGTCCGGCACGGATTTTGATCGTTTTCCTATCCTGTGCGCAGGAAGAAGGGACGGGAAGGAATGCCATCCTCCGTATGGATGCTTCTCTACGGCCTTCCCCTGGAGGTCCGCACAGAGACCGGAGGCTTTGTTCCCGGAACCTCCGGAGGTCATCCGACCAGTCTTCTGCCTTTACACCCGCCGGAATCCGACCGAATGCTACGTATGGTGACTCTTTTCCCTCCTCCGATTTGATCGCTGAAGCGGGGAATTTGTGAAAAGTTCACGCATCCAGCATTGCGGATACATGAAGTATTTTTCACCGAAATTCTTGGAATCCATTCCCGCATCCATTACCATTTGGAGAAACAAATTTAAAACGTGTCAATAAGTGCTCTTGACACTTCTCAGCCAAAAACACCTGCGAAATTCCTGAAAATATTACACGGGGTGTCACCGAAAAATGTGGAAAGAAAGTCGGACGTTCGAACGTTCCGCGAAGTCGCGTCGTGAGCCAGGGTCGTGAGCGATCCGTCCAACCAGATCCCGGCCCCTGCCGAGGTTCGGTCGATCCTCAGTCGTGTGTCAAGCTGTGCCGAAAACGTTTTCCGTTCGTCCCGAAAGACAGGAAATGCCGCGAAGAGTGTCTTGCGAAAGACTTCGCGCTTGCCGAGGCATAACTGTCGAGACTGTGGTCTTGAAGCGCTCATATATGAACGCTTCCTGCTTCCTCTCTTTTTTTTCCCCCCCTTGAACGTTGATGGTTTCCTGCCAATTTTCCAGCAATCCGTGCGCACAAAAAGTTTATAAATTTCCCAGGAAATTTTGAGGGAGTTTGCAAAAATGATGTTTAAAGAAGTATTTTGTGCTCGCTGACCTGTTTCCCTTTCCCTCAGCGCTTGAGGACGAACGAGACTCAGAGGCTGGAGGAATCCCCGTTCGACCCGGGGCATCCCGTCACGCTGCTCACTCACGGATACCTGGAACACGGACGCAAGCCGTGGCTGATGGTCGGGGATTCCCTTCCTTTTAAAAAGGGTGTCTTATTATTTATTTGCGTATCTCTTTCCGATATGATGTGGTATCTCAGATAAATGCAAATATTTCTGCCAATTTTAATTAAATTCAACTGTGCTTCGAAGACCTGCTTGTTCGTCACGGTTTTCGATACTTCCATTTCGAAAAGTTATTTCGTTTGAAGCAAGAGGAAAAGGGAAATTTTTATTTTCTTTTCAACTCGGCAAAATTTTTCCTTATGATATCGGAAGGAGATATCTTTTAAAACGAGCTGACTCAAAATTTTTTTTGCGAGACAACCTAGAAATGTTCAAAACGGGATCTGGCTTGAAAACGCAGAGACTGACGAAGGAGCTGCTGAAGGCGAAGGAGCAGAACGTGGTCGTGCTGAGCTGGCTCGGGGGATCCGGACCGCCCCACGCCCAAGGCGAAGCGAACATCCGCCTCCTCGGGGTCATGGCCGCGCACTTCCTCGCCTTCCTCGCCGTGAGACTTACGTTTTTCGGGGAGGGAAAGCGCTCGGTGGGGGTTGGAAGCCGGCTGCTCTCGGTTGCAGCTGGAGCTCCGAAGGGTGGGAAAATTTAGTCTATGCTGAAATGCCAATGGTTGCCGATGCCAATCGTTCTGCCAATGGAATGAGTTCATCAAATATAACTTAAAAAAAAAAGATTGGAAATGGTTGCTTCTAGCCTCTGATTGTCGATCACACCTAATTACAACACCTGGTACGCACACATTAGACTGGTGCATCAGATCGACATGGTTTGTCCTTCATAGGGATGCTTGGCAGGCATCAGCCTGATGCAAGAATTGGGCTGTTGCATCAGGCAGGCCAAGCAAGAGAATTTCAGTTCGGACAATCTACTGGAGACTAAAAGAAAATAGATTGAAATTCCGTGCTTCACGAACGACGCCCATTGAATTCAAAAAGCTCGAAGCCAATTTTTGGAACAATGAGTTCAAGATTTGAATTCATTGTCAAACCTTTCTAATCCCATCCAGTCCAATTCCTAAAGGAATTTTCTCATTCCAGACGTGGTTTTCCTAATGGATGACGCCCATTCAGTCCTATTTCTGCCAGTCTCCGTCGGGTTGTCCGAGATTCCATTCCATCATCTTCCAACTTATTAGTTGCTGGGCTGTTCGTATCTACCCTTTATCTCTCGGTCTCGGCGAGCTGAAGTGGCCCGCTTCAGGCTACAGCAACCCCTGAACTTCAGGGACTGAGAAATGACACCTGATGGTGAACAAGTACCGAAATCTACACAGATTCACACAATCTTTCGAGTTATACACTATCGAACTTAACCTAAAATAATATCCGGATGCCTTGTTTCAAAGTGATTGCAGGCAGCATTTTCCCCCCCCAAATAAATGGCAATTATCACCCTTTCTCCTGTTGCGTAAGCAGTCATGACTTAAACATGAAAAAACGGTCAGTTTCGTTTGTTGCATGACATTGAGCACCCGATATAGTTTCCTGATTGTGAAAAACCTAATATCCTTACAAAGTACCTGTATATTAATGGAGGTGGTAGGTAAGGTTCATAGGTAAACTGTCTAAATACCCTCTGAACGGAATGATTCTAGGGAATCACGTGAACAATGAATGTGATGTTTTAAGAGGGAGGCGGGAACACGAATGGAGGAGGTACATGTGGTGGGTCACAGCATGGGAGCTCATCTGGCCTCGTACATCGGATCCACGCTCAAGGTCTTTGGACTGGGGAAACTGGGTCGCATCACAGGGCTTGATCCGGGGAGCCATCACTTCGAATACGCTGATCCTCGCGTGAGACTCGATCCTGAGGATGCCCTCTTCGTGGATGTCATTCACACCGATGGCGTTCCTGTCTCTGCGGGGGGTGAGTGTCGGCATACCAATCCTTTCAATCTATGCTATGTGCAAGGTTGGGGTGAGACGCATTCTGTGCGTCGTGACAGGTTTGGGGACACTTCAACCGTTGGGTCATTTGGATTTCTATCCAAATTCAGGGGCTCGCATGCCAGGTTGCGGCCTCTCTCTTCAGGATGCCTTCAGGAGAGAGACCGGCTCCGTTCTCAATGGTACGAATTACGATGAATCTGGAGTCATTCACCATTTCCGTGATTTGTTCCTTTTTCGGAAAGAAAAGTGTGTGCTTGCTTTACGTATTTAATTTAATACATGAAAGCCGCAATTTTCGACCCTACAAATTCTATATGTGAGGATCTTGCAATAAGCCTCCCCATGCAATAGGATGTTACATGCCACATTTCACCTTGCAGCTTTCTGACATATAAGTTCGAATCCCATTGCAATCTCATCGAAATTTCTTGCACACTCGAGTATTCCTTAAAATAGTTGACGCTAGTCATCCAAAGTGGAAAATTCGAACATTGGAATTTGATGAAATTTTAACTCACTAAAGGCTAGTCCAATTAGGAAATGCAAAATCTACGGAGCCTCAATAACTCGTAATTAGTCGTCCAAGTTGGGATTTTCTAATCGGATTTGCCTTCCTGACGCTTCATCAATGCCCGATATTCGACTCCCCTTCACGGACAACATGCTTGAACACCCGTGAGGAAAAGCACGTGTGAAACATTCAATTTTAAAAGATAGCAATGGCATTTGAGCAGATATCTAAGAAAAGTTGTAAGGTGCAATATGTGCAATGAACCTCATCAACTCATACCATAGCGAGGCTCATCACGAATTAAGTGACTCTTAAGAATGCATGCTGTTCCGATGCTGATCTTTTCCCTTGCTTCTCCAGTTTTGACGCGATTTGTAGTCTGCAGCCACTTGAAGGCCTACGACTACTTCATCGAATCCGTCAATTCTCCTTGCCCCATGCTGGCCCTTCAGTGTTCGAACTGGGTCGAGTTCACGTGAGCCTCTGACTTTCTGTTTTCTACCCATTTTACACGATTAAAAGTCGAGTAGCCTTCCATACCATATTGCCCTTTCGAGTCTATTCAGATAGTTCTTACGTAATACGTGTTGAATCAAAGAGAGCTTCGCAACAATTAGAATGCGCCGTGATCGTTTCATGAAATACCGAGCAATCAATAGGAAAATAGCGACTATGTCAAATGAAGAAGCTCGTAGGAATGCTAAAGTTTTCTTTTTAATTGGATAATTGATAATTAGGCTGAAATCCAGTCAGAGGCTCTTCTAGTTCAGCCATCTCGTCCACATTTGAAAGTATTTGAATAGTATTATGAAATTGACTGAATGACACGGGTCCAGACAGGGAAAGTGTGTCAGCTGTGGCCAGAAGGGAGAGAAGTGTGCTCGAATGGGATATCACGCAGACGAAGACTGGGATCCGGTTTTTTACGAGGGGAAGCCCCTGCAACTATATCTCTTCACCGGCCCTCGCCATCCCTATTGCAGTACGACATGCCCGTTTCATTACTGCTGGAAAAGATTTGTTCGAATGTTGAAGGGGTCGGCTAACCCACTGATGAAAATGTGAATTAAATAATATGAACTGTTTTTTTGAATGCTCGGTATGACGAGCTACACTTTTTTATTTTACTACATTTTATTTTACTTAGCGTGTTTCTTCAAAAAATATGTGTAAACATTTTTTTAAAGAGAAATCGCTCAAACTTCTGAAAACTTTCAATAATCCCTCAGAATCTCAGCTTTCTATTTAAAATAAACAAGATTGATAGGTATCACGTCGCCATCACTTGCAAACTGAGAAAAGGGGATGTTAACAGACAAAGAAGTATTTGTCCAATGAAGACGCTATTCTTAAAAAGTCACTGGTTAAACTTCCCGATTTTTTGGCTTCTGTGCATTCGCCATGTTTTAAAATACCTGTTTACAACGACAGCCAAAAATTATTTTTCTGCAATTTTTGGCTGCTTTGAGGAGTATCTGGCAACCATAATGTTTCCTGTACGTTCCGAGGCATCAAACGTAAAATGTTCCCGAGAAACACTGGAGGTTCATAATGACGACGTTGTGTTGAACAGGAGTGACCCACGCGGTGACCGTGGTCGCGTCGGATTACCAGATGCCAGCCCAACGTGGAGGCAATATCGGCAAGTTTTACATCACTCTTCGCGGCTCTCATGGTTCATCCTCGAGATCACGGCTTAAGTATTGGTATGTGCATCACTTCACCTGCATTTTTTAACACGAAGGTACAGTGTGATTTTCTACGTCTAAAAATATTTTCAACATCTTTCATATTTTCCAAGCTCTTCAGTCATTTTCAACCGGAAGGCTAAATTGGCGATAAATACTTGCCCTAAACCAGTGATGCACAACCCGCGGCCCGCAGAGGCCTTTTTTGCGGCCCCTTGGTTGTCCCCAGTCTCTAAAGATCCATATTTATATGCGGCCAATTTCGGCTAATGTTCGAGGATCTGCGGCCCTCGGACCCCTAAAAAATGAGCCGAAATCTATATGTTGGCCCTCCACGGAGAAAAGTTTGTGCATCACTGCCCTAAACCATCCAATTGAGTTATGGATTTTCCAGCTGCATTTAACATATTCACGGCCATGACTTTCACCACCATTTACCTCTTCTGGACTAGTCATTTCGTACGTGCACAGAATAGTGACAGGGAATGCCATCTATCGGCAGACCCAATAACTTTTTTCGTCAGAGTAATAGAAGCTATGCCACAGTGGTAAATTTAAATACGTGCGCTTACCCGAGGAAACTCGGATTTCATCGTCAATGTGTTAAAGTCCAACCTTTCCCCCTCACCTCGGTTAGGATAAGGAGCGAGGATGGGCTGGGTAAGGATGACAGCAGAAGCAAAGTGAGCAGGAAAAAATCCTCGAAAACGAAGGAACTAAAACGGTATTTAGCGCTCTCTGTGAATTTTTCTAATATCCTGATACCTGCTTCATAGCCAGTAATCTCTCTTTTCTCATATCGCAATGAAATTTTTAAGTTTCCAAGTATGAGCTTACCCCTCCCCATACCTTTTCCAGGTTTGTTCTTTAAATTATTCGCTAGGATGCTTGTCATTCTGGCGATTTAGCACCGAAAAGGGCAAAGCCTAAAGCTGAAAATCTTAGTGAAAATGACTCTCTACTGATCACTGATTCGCCGTCATTGCCGCAAGGGATCGGAAGCAATATAAAGGAAACGGAAGGACCATAGTTTGAAAGTGGTCAAGGAAAGGGGCAAAAAGCTATTCTTTCGTTGCCATTGACATCCAAATTTCATCGTCATCATCGTGACTCCGCGTTTCCGAACAATTCCAAAGTAGAAGGCTCTCTCTTTCAACGGAGCGGACCATGGCACCTTTATGTCGGCAGACCCGAACACCTTCACCTTCAATCTTTCAGGGAGCTGCTTCTCAAGTCCGGCCAAAGGTTCCTGGTTCCAACTCCGGATATCGGGGAAATCCAGGAGATTCTCGTGGAGTTGGAACTCGGAGGAACGGTGAGGAACTCCACAACCAGGCGGTTCCTCTCCCAACCCAGGATAATCATCGACCGAGTCATCGTTCAGACCCTCGAGCACCGCGCCACGTGAGTCCCGTGTGCCTCCCTCTCCGCTTGCATCGTCCCAGGATGCGACATCCATACTTGACAAACGCGCAGGGCGGATTTCTGTGGCCGGGGTCGAGAGTTGGTGTCTGGGAAGATGATGACCTTGAGACGCGATAACCTTGGAGGATGCCCTGAGAAACCCCGGAAGTCACCCAGGATCATTTAACCTTTCAGACACTTCCTTTTTAACCTTCCCCATTCGGCACAGCAACGTTGTGTCAACATTGAGGAAAGGTCGATTTTTCAACGTAACAATTTGTGCTAAAGGTTGCCTCGATACTGAAATAATGTTGAAATGAAATACCATTCAACGTTGAAAATACGGTGTGCCAACGTTGAATTGTCAACATTTAGGCATTACAATACTTCCTCCATTTCCTGAGTCTGAACGAGCGCTAATATCGATTAAATGACGAGATGGAATGTGTATTAGGCCTAGGTTTATGATAGCACTGTTAGGTACTGTCATCCCACAATGGGATCCCTCCGGAAGGGCCAAGGAAGGATCTCCTGGTGGGATACTCTACTGAGTACTGACATCCCGTAGGAGTCCTCGCTGAGATTGTAATTCCTTTATTGGATCAGAATTAGAGCTAAGTACTTAGATGACGCAACTCTTTCTGTTCGGCGGAGGAACTACATGTTCAGCACCATCTCCAAATATTTCTCATTTTAGAAGAGGAGCCAAACCCATCCTTGCTAACTAATTATCACAATCTCTTCCTCTTGAAAGAGATACGAGTTCCAGAATCTGTTAAATTTATTTTTTGTCCTGTGATCCCTACGTGGTGGGATCACCCCTGCTAAGAGTAGGGTAAGAGGGCAGGATAACGAGCATTATTTTAAAAAGTTATGATTATGATTATGATGTGCTGGGTCCAGTCAAGGTGTCAAAATTAGCTTAGGCTGTTCCTGCCATGGCAGGTGCCGGAAAATGGCGAGAAGAATTCGTAATCCTTTTTAGGTGCCCAGTTCCTCGTAATTTTGACATTTAGACCCAGCTTGGTCCGCCCGTAGGCGCTTCAAGCTGGACGCCCCCTGGCTGATTTACTGTGATGCTAATCAGAATCAGAGGTTACTATATTAGCGGGGCTGGGTGGTGATGAAGTTGAGGTTGCGGTACCTGTACAGAGATCATAATTAGACGATAGATCTAGGTAAGGGACAGTGCTATGAATATTTTCGGATCAGAGATAGGGGTAATGCATTGCTCTGGGAAGAAAGTCAAAGATGATGAATCGATTCCCGCACCGAACCTTGTTTTTTTTTTCCCCTTAATAAGAGAGTTTTTAAATTATGCGTTTTCGTCTGTCAGTCTGGTAAAGAGCCATGTAGGGACTTGGGAAAATTGAGCATGTCTCCTCGGACCCCTAGCCAGTAGTAGGGGAAGGTCGGGGCAAAACGGAGCAACTCAGATTTTAACCAAACCATACCCTATATCTATCGGCTATTTACCCCATTATAACCCCCTACTACGCGGGCAAGTTTTCAGGCACGGCGGCGCTCTATGAAGTAGTCTGTTAACACTCTAGAAGCAAAATAAGAAAACACCTGTTTAGAGTTTTTGATGAGCGAAAAAAAGTAACATGGGAACATTGGAGGCGACTGATATTTATTTTGGCTGAAGGTGAAAATGTGAACTATCATCATTTCTTCTATCATCAGTCGTCATTTCTTGCATAGCTCATTAACTTTCTGTTTGACAGTGTCTTAATTAGAGACGGTGCTGATGGGGCAAAACGGGGTGACGGTGAGGGGGCAAAATTGGGCGGTATAGCGGCTCTATATACCTATTCTCCTTTGGCTGGAATATCCATTACAACGGTGAGGCTCAGGCTGACGCGATGTGCTACTGTTCAGATTCTTTCCCTCGCTCAAAACCGAGTGAAGGTTGGGTCACCGGAATTCGGTTCATAACAGCTGTGCAGGCTTCGATGACGACACGGATGTGGACGTGTTTTCTGTGGCGTCTGTAAATGTGCATCTATGAGGGTTACATGGCTAACAATTTGAAACAGGAACAATTATTTTTCTTTAAAAGTTTCATTGTTGTTTATTTTCTGTGGCCTTAGTAAATAGGCGTATAATAAAAATATTGGAAAAGAGGAGAAAAGGAAAACACGGTTTATTTGGTGATGTTTCATTGCTGTTCCTGTCATTTGGCCTTTGTAAGAAAGAATGAAGACCTGGGGAAAGAGAGGAAGCATCTGTTTGTAATTTGTGGATATTTCGTTGCGGTCTCTGTTCTGTGAACTTCGTAAATAAGCATAAAATGATGAGACAAGGGGAAAACATATATAAAATCATTACTTTGCTAGTTGTAGATATTTCATTGAAGTTTCTCTTCTGTAACCTATTTAAATAGGTAAATATCATGAATAAAATCTTTGTTAAACAATATCTGGAGGAGTACTGGGTATATGGCAACGATTTTTAGAATTGTCGGGAGGAAAATACCGTCGCTGATTTTGCGATGAAGTTGATTCCTATTCGTAGGTAAGACATGGAAGATACCGCATGCCAATCTGCAATGTGCTACGCCGATTCCTTGGTAATTTTCCTTCTTGCCCCACTTTCCCCTGCTTGGAGTCTCCTTCTGCCGGGTTACCTCCTTATACAGGTCTACCTAGTAGTTCCGACGCCTTCCCTTAAGTTGTACGCGGGAAAATATCGGGCACCGTGTCAAAAATTAAGGGGACTCATACCAATGGCACCAGGGTGAGAATCGCTTAATGGGCGCTTAGGCACCATCTCGAGCCGTTCGGTAGAAACTATTGAAATGTAGATGCCTCAACATTTCCACCTTTTATCAGTTATGAAAAAAAAAAGGCCATAGCAAGAAACTCTTCTCAGGAACTTTAAAAGTAGCTTTTTAATACCTAGATTTAAAAAATAAGCTTTCCCAGACGCATAAGTATTTGCAGATATTTTTGTTCCATGAGGGATTTTTACGCCCGACGTCTCACACTCATACTTTTAGAGGCGTGATCCAGCTCGATCCTTGACTTGTTCGCAGAGGGTGGTCATGCACGAAGCAAAATCCAGTGGCGATTCCAGAAGGAATTGAAAGTCGGTCGTGATGGAACATTTTCGTTTAAGGCTTTGAAACGGACTGCAGCCAGCGGAAGAAAAGATGGTAGAAACAGATATCTGGATGATTTCTTGGCAAGATCGCTGCCGTTCCAGAGGCATCGGAAGAACTGTCGAGTGCCTCCTCTCCTTCCCTCCTTCCACCTGGGGTTGGAAGGAGAGATAATTCCTTCCCTCCTTCCATTTGGAGGGTGAGAAGACGTTATAGCAGGGCTTCCCAACCTTTTTCACGCGCGACCCCAAAAATCACGATCATGCCATTCAGGATCCCAAGCACTGGCCGAGTTCGATATGCCCGTCCACCTATGCGCTAAAATAGCGAATAAAAATATAGTTTGGCCTTTAGCTGCCGGTTCGCTACCCCAAATATGTTCTTGGCGACCCCTGCGTAATAGTCTCCCGTTGTAGATGCCTCCCGTCCGACGGCTAATTTCATCGGTCACAAATTCCCAGGTATTGCAGAACAGTGCAATACCATGATCTTGATTTTCTGAAGCGAGTGATGGAGTCGGAAAACTTCATTACGCGAATCTGCCTATTTGCTCGCCTTCCGACGAGCAGTTCGGCCGCGAGTTTTTAGCGCGCTTAACAATGCGGAGATTGTCAATTCTCATCAACATTGACGCAATGTTGAAAACATCAACAATGCAAGGTCGTTGTCCGGTTAACATCCCAAGTAGCGCAAAAGTAGTGGGCCATAAGCGTCGCAGCCACTACACTGGCAGATTTCTACCGGGGGGCGGGAATGCGGCGGCAAGTTGGACATGCAGTTGCTGGCCCGCTACCTATTGCACCAGTTCAGGGTAGAGAATGTAGCTGGCACTTCCCGAGGTGGAGTACCAAGAGTCCCCACTAGATGGTACCCCTGTTCCCTTCACCCTATTTATGCTATGAAGTACCTGTCTTCTTGATTTAGCAAAATTGTTTCTTCCTCGTTTTTTCTCTTTTAAATGTGCAATCTATAAACAAATACTAGGAAATCGTAGAATTATGATGTTTTGATTGCAATACAAGACTCGGGGAATAATTAAATGCTCCCATTAAATGCTCAAGTTAAGTATGGGAATTCAGAAGTGTATAGGACTAGGGGAGGGTCGAGAGACATTGCTCGCCAATATCATATTATGTGTAAGCCTTTTCTTGGTACTCGTAGACTTCTGATTACTCCTCAAGGTATTCGTATTGGACGCGGAAGAAGAGAGCAGCGGTCATCTTGGATTCTCTTTTGAGTTGGCTCTAGTCAAGATTTAAGGTACTATGGGAAGATGAAAATCGACCCCCCCGTGGCGGATGGCAAAGGTCACGATTTGCATGCCTCTCATTGAAAATCTGCATCTCCCCAACCCTTTGTCGCAGAAACGTCAAATTTGCGCCATTTTCCTCGCCACGGAACATGTTAAATTACGAGCCCACAAATTTGCTCATCTCTCTGTTTCCCGAGACGCCGTGGCGCCTTTTGTGAAAATTCGCGAAA